GGGGGGGGGTATGAGTTGGCTATATGCCTATTTCCATATTTATAAGAATGTTGGCAATGTCGGGGTGTCCAGGCTCGAAACATCCCACGGCGGGATCCGGTTTGAAAGATGTATGCTTGGACACAAACGGCGATGGAGACAATCACTGATAGCTCTCGCTATTGACCATAGCTGAAAATTAACTGTACGTTCGCTGAAAGGTGGAGCAATAAACGCAATAAGCATCCTCATTCTCTATGGCATCAGTTTGGTGTTGAATATCCTCCGACCAAAATGATCCTTCACCCACAATTGGTTCAAGTTGACCAATGCCCTGTAAGACTATGGATGGAGGCCAAAATTTTGGTTCCATCTTTTATGGGCCCATTTGTTCATAATTGAGTAGTCCCATAACACAAGCGCGTCCTTATAGAAACAAATGACCTAGTATTGTATAGTATACTTTAGGAAAGAGGCTCGCAAAATGGCCACGTAACGGCTCAAGATATTTATTATCATAGATGCAAGCTCATTTGTTTGTTACGACTATTAGCTTATTAGATTGCGAGAACATGACGCAAACATACTTCGATTTGTTGAAAATATTATGTGTATTTCACTCGTGAGTGATGCGCTATGTTGCCTTGGAACAAAACAATATCAATAATTACGAAAGGCTTCTGAAGAATAAGTTCAACAATGAAAAACTGCATACATACATACATACATACAATCATACATACATACACTCCCATAGCATGGTAGTGACCAGCCACGCCGAATATTTGAGTTCAGCTGGTCAGATTATTCTGCTCGGCGTAAACTTAAAATTGCGTGTCTTTTACAATCCTATTGGTCCAAAATCACGTGGATTTGCAGCAATCAAGTTTCCATCCGGAAATTGTGATTATTGGACGCTGTGCGAAATTTCCGACCAAGATAAGATTATGATTCGTAGGTTTTCATTGATAGCTACAGATAAAACAGGATTTGAGAAAGACAGTTTTTAGGATGGGACCTGGATACGTGCGTGAATATCCGGTTGCCAAGAACTACTGGTTGTGCGGCAGCTACTAGCTTGCCGCCGCCAACTCTAAGTGATTAATCACTTCTCATTTTGCCTCTTCTGTTCACCTTAACCTTCAATCAAGACCTCGACTGGAGCGCCGCCGCTGCTACCTTTGACTCCGCCTCCGACTCGCCACCGCCTTCGACTTCGACTCTCTTCGCCAAGGCCGCCAACGACTGCTTCTTCCGTTTGGCAGGCCCCAAGAACGTCACATAGTAGCACTTGGTGTGTCAAGCTTCGGTTCAAGTTCAAGAGTCGAAGACTGGTATTGTCTCTTAGAACGAGCTTTAACGTTCGGTGGATCGATGTTATCTCGTTCAACATTCAGCTGACGTCAAATGAAAGCTGAATGTTGAGCAAGAGTATCATTTTTAAAGCATATTCCGGCGCCGGATTGTCCGTATCTGATAGTTTTTTTTTTAAGGGCTAACAGGCTTTGGTCGCGAACCTTCGCAGGATTGCTAGCTACGCACTTTCTCTTTGTAGGCTTGTCGCTGATTGGACTCGCGAGTGCATACGAGCGGGACATTCCGTGATCTAAAGAAGAAGCGTCACTATACTGTCGCTTATAAAGGTAGTTTATTCAATTGGTAATGCAACATAAAACTAAAACAGTATAAACTCGCCCAAAAGGCCGTCTAAACGCAGATTATCAATTATCCAAGAGAAAGTACCTAGAGAAAAATAGCAGGTAGAAAAACTTTTCGTGGGGTCCGTTCATCGACACATTTTTGGGGTCAGTTTTACCCAGTTTTACTCTTATATATTGTATCGCACAACGAGCCGTTGAAGCCTGAGAAAGCATTTACACTCAAAAATCAATAGGCTACCTCAAAGCATGGTCTACTTGTACTTACCGCAAGGTCACCGCACTTGTGAAATGGTTGGAAGAGGCAAGTTGAAATCACATACATACATTGTTTATCTAGAAACCAATCATCGGTATGTTAGATCTCCTTCTGGCGTGCAAGCAAGTTGTCTTCAAACGCAAATGAGAGCGTGCTATCGTTCGCATTAATCGTAATGCCACGTAGAAGCTCTTGTTCTGGACATGTAGTCCCACATATAATTTGTCCCGACCGATTACATTTTTTTTTTTTTTTGATCAAGTTTATCCAAAGTGAGTTTATTTTTTAACACCCACTCGAAAAACAAATTATATAAGAGATAAGATAGTCCTGGTAACTCTACTAGCTGAAAATTATTTCAGTCTTCAGTGCAGAGGGTAGACAGTGTCTAGAAACGTGTTCCAATCGTCGATGGTACTTACATCTTGATAAATATCATTGCGATGAAGCAGCAACCGCTTCCGAATATCCTGGTGGTCCATTGCAACGCTCACAGCTAGATGAACATATTCGTCGAGCGATTTTGCAATACAATCAGAAGCGTTCATGTAGCGCAAAAATCCAGCAGCGAGGTGGACAACGCTCTGTGCAGCAGGTAGTGTTATCACCGGGCTGGTTACAAATATCCCGTTATCCAGTTGGATTTTCATAATATCAGAGGAATACAACAGATCCTTACATGCCCAAATGTAGCGCATCCAGTGTCGTGACGCCGCCTCCGAATGGAAAGGGGTCGAGTACAACGTCAGCATGTGCTAACAACGCCTGAAATTCGGTAAAAGGTAGCGTCGGTAAGAACAGCACTAGCCGATGGTTCTTCATTTCGATACAAACACGCGTCAGATTCATCGTATAGATAAAAAAAAATATCAAACAGTTTGAATTCTTTACCCGTCCAAAACGCTGTCGAAATCTCCGCCGCACCTTCTCCATCCAGACTAATTGCGTATTGGACGCCAACAAGACGATGGTGGCCTTGTTGTCACGCTCCAAAATCCTGGCCAACGCTTCATCAAACGCTGGATGAAGTTTCATCAATGTCTGCATTTTTTTTAGCGAATAGTTAGAATAACACCGTATAAATATTTAACACAACGCACTCACCTGCGGGCACACGTAAAGTCTCCGGTTTGTTGGTAGATACAGTCTAGATCGAGTGATCTCTCTAGACTCTATCGTTAGCGGGTTGGGCTCAGTGAAAATCGTGCTGAGACCACGGAATAGCACGATCTGCTCCGAGAACGATGACCGACGATAACCTGACAACTTAAGCTGTTCGTTAACCGGCGTCGACTCGGTTGGCTCGTCGAAATTATCAGAGACAAAATGCTCTGAAGAAATGAAATAGTCGATATTTGGGTTACCCGTGGTGATCGGATGTCCCCAGAAAACGCACTGAATGGGAGCCACGCGATGGTGAGAGAGTAAAACTGTCCACTCGTCCATGCCCAATTCAGGAAAAATCGCAATATCTAATTGCGCTTGTCGAAGAATGTGCACTGCTGGGTCTTGAGTTTCAGGTAATTCGACGTATTCATCTGCTGTATGCTTGAATAATTCTGAAATCTTGTCACCATCACGCAGGAAGTGCACGCAGCGATAAATGATAACATGGAATTTGGCTCGATCCAGATTTTGAACGACGCCAAGCAGTAGTTTACCAACCGAATGGCTTCGAAACCAGGAAGAGATAAAACCAACCCGCCGACGTTTGTGGTCATCACCTGGTATTAGTGTTTCTTCAGATCGGTCAGGGTTTTGCGGCTCAAAGGAGGAAGTGAGACTTGGGTAGACTAGAGATCGAAGTCGATTTATAGCCTCTTGAATAGGAAGAACATCGACACCCTGAGCACGAGACATAAAATTCCGTCAGACACAGCCTTGCTGGTAATAACGCTTGGATCGTACCTGGTAGCCGATAAACATGGTGGGAGGCGTGATGGTATACTGAAGATATGCCGCTTCTTCGGGCCGAAGAACCGGACCTGTTATACTTAAAGCTGCTTCGTTGGATTCGTCAGCGATTTCTAGTGGCGAGACAACCCGTTCTTCCAATTCGTGTTTTATCGCAAGTGTTTCAGTGAAAATGTTCAGTTTACTCTTCAGTTCAGCGATGAATAAGTCCAATTCGTTCTGGGAAGAGAAAACAACTGGCACAGCTAGGAGCTGACGAAGCTAAAGTATCATACAACACCAAGTTAGCAATGTGGTAATTGTGACATTGAGTCAGCATGTACTCGTACCTCAAGCGTAGTTGAATCACCCGGGCACATTCGCGCAGCATAACCAAAGAAACGCAGAGATTCTTCAAACGGACCCAGCTCGTCCAAGAAAACGCCCATCATAACGAGCGAGTGAAAAAATTCCTTCGTAAATTCACTACTGAACTCTCGAGACAGAGTCCCTGTGCGTTCATTGGGGTAGCAGCACGCCAACGCCAAATTCGTGTCATTAACTAGTCCCGCTGCAAGTCCCAAACATTCTTCATCGTGACTCGATCTCTCCAATTTAGTCAATCGGTTGAACGCTCCTTCCGCCACTTTCAGACTTGGAGTACCGGCATCAAATTTCAAAGTCTGACATGCTGAAGTTTCAGACAGGCTTGTTATCACATCTCCTTGTAGAAATTTCAGAAATGACAGCATACACTGTATCGATGTGTCGGAACGATTATCTGAAGATGCTGGTATTTTTTGGAGTAGAGAAAAACTATGTGAATAGTATCCCGATTCCATTAGTTTTCGAGCTGCTGTTCGCACAAGTAAGCGCTCCTTACGACTGTCAGTCTGTGATTCATTATTCCACAACTGTATTTGCAGAACTGCAGCAGCTACAGAAGCATGGAGAGCTGCCTCACTAGCAAAGCTCCACTTAGAAAGCTGCTTCACGCAGAATGGCAAGAACTCCATTAACTCCTTCGCTTCAGCGTCGCTGTGAACGGTACCAACTCTTTCATACTCCTCTGTCCATATCATGGACAGCAATCCATCCAGCGTCCCCACCATTGGCTCAAGTTGCTCCATAACATACTTGAATTCCTCGTAGACAGCCACAGGTGCATTGATATCCACCAAAAACTGGAGCCTCGTACGCGCTTGGTTAGCCAAACTTATAGTCTCTATCTTCAGTTCAATCCCAGTCAATTCATCACGTCGCTTCACCATTTCAATCAGTTTTTCTCCATCGCTTAGTGTTACCGACACCGCAGCAGTTGTAACATGTTCATATTCGAGACTACTAAGGGGAATCAGGGTATCCTCTGAGTTCACAAGTATCATCAAAGCCGCATCCTTAACCGCCACGTTCACTATTTTCTCCTGAAATGAGCACTCGCCACGACGAACAATCACTGCAGTGTTCTCAAAATTTGAGAATTTCTTGTCCGATACCTGCGAGCAGCCCAGCATTTTATCGTTTGGCGCTAGGACCATTTTTATACTTTTGGTCTCGTCTGGTAGATAAGCTCCGAACGCAGCTAGTTGGCACCGGAACGGAAATGATGTCGTCTCGGCACTGCCAGGAGTTGCTGGCAACTGTGCAACGCATTCACCTAAAAGGTCTCAATATCAACCACTGTCGTGATGATTGCAAAAGGTTTACTTACCGATTGGGAGTGTTGGTTGCTTGGTCGCCACGACAACGAGCGCGGTCACACTTAGAAAACAGCAGAGTAGCTGTATTATCGGCTTCATGTTTGTCCTTCTTGATGCTTGTCAAGCGTGGGAGCTCACCACCTCTTCAAAGATCGCGTATCTTCTTTTTTTTCTCAATGTAGGGTATGGTAATTTATAATGTTTTACTTGAAGAAAAAGCACGATTTGTATTTAAAATAAGTGTGCTACAGTACTCCCACTCCAGTTAAAAAGGCTTAGAATGTACTTATAAGTATGCAATGGAAGCTCATCATTCAAGCTGAAGCTGAGCCCGCTCACGGGAATAAGCTCTCAACATCGTTGGGTTTTAGGTCCGTGTATAAGGAATATGACATGGTCCATACTCAGGGAAATACCCCTTTTAGGTAAATTATGATGTTGATTAGCGCGAATTCGGTGAGTGAGAAAGTTTTTCTCGTCGCGTCGTTGTTTGCGAGTCTGGAAGATGGTGAAGAGGGAAAGCCCAATTCCAGTGCCGCTGATCATCTGGGAGTTATTTCTCTCATGGTGATTCACGGAGCCTACAGTAGAGCGCTTGGCGATGCAAGAGGTGCTCTATTTGTCCAGGTACACGCCGCAATTTCACCAACCAGGGTGATATCAAAATGAGGCAGTTACAATGTAAAATTTGCAGACACTTTACGACATCAAGCATGTTCAATCTACTTTTTTCACCTTTTCAATCAGAGACGCCGACCCTTGGCACAGTTTCTACTGCTGTTGTTGCTGCTGAGTGTTCTGTACCTCTTGAACGATGTGAACGTCGTCGTTGGAGTATTGGCAGACCGGATTCTTGGGACCATTGCTCAGAATCACCGGTCGGGCTCCACTTTTGTTGACACCGAATGATGAGGCACATTCCGTGTAGTTCTCCGCGCTTGGCTTCACGTAAATGTTGCGCAAAACAGCTTGGTCGCCGAAATTCTCGTTCATCATGACGATACTCACGTTTGGGTCCACGCGCTGAGCCTGGATGATCTCAAGGTCAGCTAAAATGTTGGTCATGTTGAGGAAGCGCTGACGAGGGTTACTCTTGCAGTTACCGCACGAGCGGTACAGCTTGCCGAAGTCTTGTGCAAAGAATCCTTCGACAACGACAGTACCGTATCCGTTGTGCTGGATTACCTTGTCGTCCGCGTAACGAGCCCCGCCACCGATGACTCTGGAGACACTGGAGGCATTTCCACCCTTGATACTCAGAGCATCCTCGCACACGTCCTCCCACCACACATTTTCGATCGTGCAGTCCGACATCTCACAATGAACACCCTCCATTTGGTTCGTGCCGATGATAACGTTCTTGAGCGTGGCACCGGGCTCGACCTCGAACACAGCATTGGATGTTCCGTTGCTTTCGGTCTGTCCGAGGCAGGTGATGTCCGAGCGATCGTACGTTTTCATACCACCGTCGAACACTTCGCCCGATTTCACGACGTAGACTTCACTGAAGCTGACATTACCTTGACTAAGTGGCCAAGTACCATCGGGGACTGGAGCACCAAATGCAACTGCAGCGCCGATCGCAAGGGTAGCAGCTGAACCGAGGAACTGAAGCATGGAAATGGCAAAGCTGAAATCAAGTGAACTGTTGCAGGCGAGGGGGAATTCGCAAATGGGAAGTGCGAGGAATGGCAATAACAGGTATAGTAGTCTTGTTGTTGGTTGTTGCTGTCTGTCGACACGCGAGGCTTTCGGTTTTGCGGCACGTATTCACTGTTTACGCACACGAGCATGGCCATTGACAATGGCCCATTGTGATCGCTTTGTCAAAGCTCCACGGATCCCACATGGACATGCAACAAATCTTTAATTTTTCTTAGTAGTAAGTACTCTCTTTTACAGTAGTTGGAATTAATCGAAGGGGTTAATAAACACCGGCTAATCGCGCGCCACCGCCATGTGGTGGTGTATTTGAGGCGTGAGGCTCATGGTGAGCGTGTGTGGCGATTATCGACGAAAGTGGAGCCAGGTGAATATTGTAATCGCCACGTACGTGTAGATTCCGCGGGCACACAATCGATGTCACCATCGAGAAAAATATCTCTCAGTTTTACAGACACTACGGTACTGTATTACATGTACCTATTGGAAAAAGCGAAGTTTGAAAACCTCATAAACGCCGGCCTTCACGAATAAATTAAATCACATGTAATATTAGAATGCAAGCTCACGAATCAATGCTCGTTGATAAGGGCATCGCTCGTGCTCTTTTGGTGACCAATTAACGTTTCTGCCGTGATAGTCAATAGTTGATGACATATTTGAAGCTATATCAGCGAACTTTAGTTATCCGAATTGCCTCATTGTTCCACTGGAAATAAAGTATTGGAATATCCGCCGGTAATCTATCTGTCATTTATTCGGATATAATTCAAATATTCCTTGTCAATCTTAGATACATATTATGTAGTAAAGAATCGTAATGTCTGGAATTTCAGGATTTGGATCTGCCAGAAAACGGGCATTTTTGCTTATATTCCATGTTACCTGTATTCCACAAGAATTAAGAATTGGGATATCCATCGATAATCTATCCGATTCTATCCAGAATTGACGCAACTCCAACAACTAATCACCGGGTCGCCATGCAGTATGTTTTCCATATAGTGCTATGATATCCGTAAATTACAGCAGTGACCTGGATACCGAAGGCAACTAATTATGTTTCTGGTTTGTAAAGCACAGCTCCATCGTATAGGTCGGTCAACCCGCCACATTCTTTTGCATGTATGTCAGGCGAAAAGTAAGCCAAGGGCAAAAATGTGGCTATCAATCAGATCGACACTTTTTTTCAAGTGATATGAAGATCCTTCTCTTGTTTACTTGTTTATGCTTAATCGATTTCGATTTTATTCTGATCTTGATCTTGTTGATTGTACAGCTGACAAAAATATGTTACTTGATCCAACTAGGTGCATGCCAAGAGAGGAATGCTACGCAAAAAATCACTGAAGTCCACCCAGCTGGGCGGGCATGTGTTTCAACATGCTAGTGCAAATATTTCGCTTTATTTTTTTGTACTTCATCAAAAATAGCTAAAAACAAACAAATCTCAACTGCGTCATCGAAACTTTTGTGAAGTTAAACAATGACATTATCTATTTATCCGGCCCCAAGAAGCCTACGTGGCGCAGGAAGCCTATCAGTGCCTTTTTCTCTGCTTCTTCGTAATTTTTATTGTGGCCACAATGCAGAGGCAATAGGCATCCAAGCTTGGGATCGCCCGTGTTGATCACCAACGGAACACTCTCGCTCTCTATCGATTTATCGGCCTTCTTGTGCTTGTCACTTGGAGAAACTTCACTTTTCTCAACGGGTTCGTTGGTTTTTGAGCTGTCCAGATGGCGCCATCGTCGCTCCAACGCATCATTTAAATACTCGATCATAAGCACAACAAATCCAATATCGTAGTCGAACTTGAGTGGCGGATACTGTTCTACAAGATGCTGCAGCATCACATGCGCCTCCGCGACTGTAATCGGCACAATAAAGATGCCATTACGGTCAAAAGGCTCGATCGAGCGCACATTTCTCCGCTCAGGAGCAACACGCCCACCCCACGCCAATAACGAAGCCGTCCAAGCGCGGATTTTGTCATATCCGCCGTTCTCTGCAGCTTGAAGAAGCACCTGGCCACAATATCCGTCCAAACGTGCGAGTTGCATCCAAATGATTGCCAACAATTCATCTGGAAAAGCTGCAGTGGTGGTAATAGGAGCAGGAGCTGTCGGGTCCGAAGAAATCATCGGGTGCTGCTCGCTATCTGGTGCATTTTCTTCCGGTACTTGAGAATCCTTAACGGTAATAGAGACGTGGCTTGACGTCGCGGTTTTCTCGCTATCTTCAGAAATTTTGCCATGATCTTCAGCTTCCTTATCGCGCCGTGTCGTGTACTCCAGTGCTCGTCTTCCGACAGATAAAACAGCGTCACTAAAGCGAGCTGCCATCGTCTCTGTCAACGGCTGTCCAAGTTGTGGACGACTCGCTGCTTCACTTACTCGACGAGCACTGCGAGGGCCACATCGTGTCCGAATTTTGCGTACAAAATTTGTCGGTGACGCAGGCAACGTAGGCGAGCCGTCAGCTTCACGTTGGCGAGGTAGATTGAACGTCTTGTCGCCCAATTCAAGACTCAGCGCGACGCCAGATTTGAGCGATGCTCCATCCAAAATGATCTCGTCGCTCGGGTCCGAGCACAAGAGCTTGGCACATGTCGCTTCCAGGTAATTCTGCACATTATCCGTCTCCCAGCGCATGACCCAGTCGACTACCGTTCCAGCCCATCTAGCGATCATTCGTTGGGCTAAAGCTGGTACCGTAGTGAACGTTCGGTCAGCTATAAGAACGTTAACGTGAGGCGAATTGCGCGCCAGATACGTGGCCACCAGTCCACCGATGGATTCGCCATGGACTGCGATTTTGTTGATGCCTCGCTCGCTCTTGAGATAATTTACAATTGCAATTCCATCCAGATTGTGCATTTGAGGAGACGGTGAGCCTTTGCAGCGTCCGTATCCGCGGTAATTGTACACTAGAACGTGACAGTCAAGTTCGGAAGTGTAGAACTTGATCCAGTCCATTTGAAGATGGTGAAGCTCGTACAGACCGCCGTTCGGGTTGCACAGAATGACAACCGGGCGGTCCACAGCGTCACGTCCACTTGCAGCAGGCGGCATGAGCATAGCGTCCACCTGATGGCCCTTATAGCCTGGAATCCAGATCTGCTCCGCTTTCTACAGTTAAGCAACAACCAGTTAGAACCCTACAAGGATAAGTAAAGCTATGATGAACAACGTACAAAGCGCACGGTCATGTCTGCACGGAGCATTTCCAGCGTCGCGATATGGTCGACTTCAGGGGTCGATCCACGGCATAATTCTTTAGCAATCCAAGTCAAATTTCTGGTCGCTGGGGCATCAGTTTGTAGTCGTCCAATTAGTGGAATCGCAGCTTGTAAGCGTCGTACGGCAACGGCAAATGTCACCAGTGGGTGTGCAGCCTCAACAGGTTTGGGCTTCGCTGCCGCTTCCGCCTCCAACGCCGCAGAATCAACCGTTGTTGATCTTTTCAACACCGGTTTAGACCCTCCAAATAACTTCATTCGCGTATTCTCCGTAGTCTTTGAAGCTGCTTCCGTCTTGTCTTCACCTCCAAACACTTTGAGTCTTTGAGTGTCGAACGTTTTATCCGACGCTGAACACAATTTCGAACATGGTTCTGCTAATTTCTGGGAGTTCACCTTGTTGATCTCTCGTAAAATTCGCAGCAATTTTACTCCATTGTTTCCTAAATTTCCATCTCGTTCCACGATTTCCAGCGACTGCATCACCGGTAACATTAAAGTTTCCAGAGCGAATGTGAAATTCTGATGAACTTGTAGGAAGCGAAGCCTCATGGGTTTATTGCTGATGGTAGGGTCCAGCACTGCTGCCAGTTCGGCGGCAGATTCAGCGAAGATCTGTAGTCGGCGTTTAGTCAGTCGAGCGAAGTTGGCTTCACCCTCTCGGATCACAAGCTTTAATTGGCCGGGATATGCCATTAGAGAAGCTACCCGCCGGATGCCAAATATGATACCAAGTACTAGCACCACTAACAGTCCAGGAAGGGTGAGTAGTTGTGCCAATAGCCGTAATAATCCTCCGACTGTCACGAATATGGTGTTGGCGATCACGAATACGATGAGCACGGGCAGCGGGTTCTGTGTCATTGAAGTAATTCGGTGATAAATGTTATAAAATAAAAGAAACGAAATCAAGTGCATCGATTTACCATCACGATAAGTCGCCAGGGATGCCATAGTTGATATGCCATAGACGGCGCTGGCTAAATTGATACACCGATTAGGGGATAATTACGTAAAGAGACTGAACGAGCGCGTACCTGGTCGTCCTCCTCCTCGTTCTCGTCGTGGTCGTGATCCTCGCCGTGCGCATGGCCACACTTGCAGTCACTAGGCGTGAGCATCGAGCGAGCTCGTCCTAAGAAAACCCGAAATATTGAGCGGAGAACTGTACAGGATTAGTGTTGCATTGATTAGACAAACTACGGTACCATCATCTAAAACTAAATTGGAATCCTATTCTTGATCAGCTAAAAAAAAATCAGCTTCCGTAAGTGTAGCCATATTAAGATGGATACACCTTTTATTTCGAGCTTCAACTTAACGGACCAAAACTACCATGGTAGGGTGGGCGTAGTTTTTGACAGATTGACAGACAAGCTAACTCGGCGCAGTGGCACGATGGACGCGAGAGAGGAAGATGAATTGACCATCCAGATCCCGCCTCATGATGGATCCCAGACGGAGAGGACGCGAGGCACCTTCGGAGGTCGACAACGCTGGCTCTCCGGTAATGCGACCGACACCAAAGTGGCATTAGATAGCAAGGCTATGGAATCAATGGTGTCGCCACGGCGAGGACTTCACAAAATGTAAGATAAACACGATGGAGAAGTGACTTTTTTAATGTCATAATTGTGTTTGTCTTGATATGCAGGAAGGTATCTGCGCCGTCAGTGCAGCCTTACCTATCGTCGCTTGGCATCTCGGTCGGTGACGAGTCGCAAATTGTTGAGAAAGAGGTGGACGAGATTGCTGGTCTACGTCGGGTAAGCCTCGCCGCAGGAAATGAGATCATGAAGAATTAGCATGTTTGTTAACCGGAATTCTTTTTTAAGGAACACGATGCAGTAAAAAATATTAACTGGCGGAAGGAGCAAGAGATCAAGGTAGGAAATCATTCAAGTCAACTGAGCTGTCGTCTCTAAAGATGTCCACGATATGTTGCACAGAAACTCGAAGAAGAAGTAGAGAATATGACGATGACTCTGCACGGTCGTATGGCTGATAATTCTCAAATCAAATCTCAAATGGCAAACATCGAGAACAAGTCAGCGGTACGTTGTATATATGATCTTTGATCACTTTTGGAACCAAAGCTCACACGTTTGTCCTTCTTCTATAGCTTTACGAGTCCAAGCTGGAAGAAGAATACAAAGACCGTGGCGTGTACAACCACATGATTCAGCGTTTAACTCGAGAAGCGCTGGACGCCAAGAAGGCGACTATAGCGAAGGAGAAGACATTGCAAGCTCTTCAGCAGGAGCTCTCCAGTGCAATGACAGGCTTGCTTGCGGCACGACAAGAGAAATCAGCGGCCGAGAGTGCATACAAGACGCTCTACACGGACTGGTGGGAGAAAAAGCAGGCCAACATCCGCGCGCTAGACGACTTGCAGCATGCAGTAGAGCAGACCCGCTTGAAGTCCGACATCCTTGAGGCTCGCGAAGTCTCACGTAAAAACAATGTGCAGGCAGCGTTGGGTCAGCTCAAGCAGAAAGAGTCACGTCGTCTTCGTCGTGAATCATCGGCACAAATGACGCACTTCTCCGAGATTCAGGAGGAACTCTCAGACACGGATCGAAAGCTGATGAGCGTGGAGGCCGAGCTGAAGCAGATCATCGAGGCTGCTGGAACCAACGACGTGGACAAGATCATAGCCAAGTATGTTGGACGTGAGGATACTTTACGTGCCTTGAAAGAGGAGCACACCATCAGCGATGCGCGTATGCGTAAGCTTCGAGACCGTCACAAGCAACTGAACGAGTCCTTGAGTCACTTGCGAAGCGCAGCAGCCAACTCACGCACGATATACCAGGAAATGGACCAGACGTCGGAGCGCCTGAAAGAGACCGAGAAAGAGGCTGCTGTGCTTGCTGACAAGTGCAATCGCGCCAATGTGCTCATGGATGCATTTCGTGCGTGCATGCTCAAGTGTCTTACCAAGCTCAGCACGGTGCACGGTTCGCTTGATTACGACGACCAACACGAGCTGAGTCGAGCGATGGAGACACCCACAGCCGACTTGTTACACATTATGGAGCAGAAGCTCAATCGTGTCTTGGATGTCATCAATCGCGAAAAGGCCGAACGTGAGCTCCATCGATCCGAGACAACCACAAACCCCAACAGTTCGGGTTCAGGCTCCGTACTCACTGGTGGCGCCCCTACTACCGACGACAAGCCGGGTGTACACCAGAGTTCTGTGCGGGCTCCTGCATCCTCCGAGACAGAGGAGCATTTCATCTTGCGTATGGCATCAACGACCGCATCACCGGCCAACGTTCGTGTCCGCCCCAAGTCACGCTCGAGTGTGGTTAGATCCTCATTCCTGTTACTTCCTCCTGGAGAGGAACCGAAAGTGTCTTCGGTCAGACGTGCTGGTCACACCACTGCGCACGACGGTACTTACCATAACGACGAGTTTGAAGACAGTAACGCAGCACCTGTGGACTTGGCAGACGATGAAACCGTGATCGATCGGCACATGCGAAAGAAACTAGTGGGCCTGATTGTGAATCGAGGCAAACGCGGGAAAAAGTCGTCGACTCAGCCTCAAACCAGTCCTCAGCATTAACAGGCACGTACTAGACATCAGTAACAATTTGAGCAACAGCATATACTTCAAAGTGCGCTCCATCTAACTAATTCAACCTGGTCATCATCAAAACTGTGAGGATCATACAAACTAGCAGTAAAAACAGTGTGCAGTACTTGTCCTTCCATCACGTTAATAATCTTTAAAAGCAGTCCAAAGTGCTCAGATTCGCCTCTAAACAAACTGGGCATGAATTATCTTCCAAGCAATGCTCATGGAAAGCATGGCCGCACGGGAGCAACACCACGTCCAAATTGGCGTTGTCTGTGCACGACATAAAACACGTTAGCTCGACATCTCAGTAGAATAAGCACTGCAGCTACAAAACATACTGTCACAGATAATCACAACTGGAAGATCACAGGTTCCGCAAGTAGAGTCGTGTAGCTGCACTTCACCACCCCAGTCACTATTCCGATATTCAAAGGATCGACACGCCATCGGAGCTGCACCCAAAGACATCCGCGATCCTGCACCGCGGGTCGTACCACGATCCGGGCTAATCGGTCTGCAGAGAGACCCGATGTCGATACCTGTTTCCTCCACCTTGCTTTGTCTGTGTGACTTCGTCTCTTCATCATACTGTCTGCACTTGGCTTCCCACAGCTCGTACTGCTCTCGGCTCATAGCTGGGAAGAGCGCATCCATCTCAAGCTGCAGGATAGCAGCTAGTTGCGGTGCAAATGATACTGAGCTCGTGGCCGATACATCCTCTTTGTACGACGCCCACACGTTGGTGTCCACAATCTCTAAAATCTGCACAATCTCGTGCTTTTGGCGCTCAGTGAGCACGTGCGTTTCCACAATGGTGTGGTACGTTTGTAGCGGCGCAGCTGCAAAGAGCATCGGATAGCGAGCAAGAAGACGCATACCATATCCAAGATCCACCGAGTTCAACAATACGTGGATCACTGCAGAGCACAATCGTTCGTTGCGATTCTCGATTGACACAGACGTCTGAATCTGACTTAGGATCTCGGATAGGCATTCTTCCGAGCTGTGCGGTAGAACTGCCACTCGTTCAAACACGGCGTCAAAAACGACCAACTCGTCGCTTTTCGTGATAAGTGTCACCAACTCCGACAGTTCTGTGAATCCTCTTTTAAGCGCACCCTCGTCGTCTTCGTCTCGCAAAGACAGCACCGTCAACTCCATTAAAGCAGAGAACGCTTTGTTCTCTGCAAATATCTTCCAGCACGTCGAATGGTCATACATAAACCTATCAGGTTGGCGAATAAGTGCTGCAACCCAGGCAAGTCGACTGGATCTCTCCTCGTCGAACAAGTTCGCTACCACTGCATCACCAGCAAAACACAACTCCAAGCATCTGCTAACAACTTTTGCATCTTTACCAGCTTCGTCGCCCTTCTCTTCAAGAAGCCGGACAAGGTATCGGAAGTACTTCGACGTCTGGGCCACCGTCGCAGGCTTATAAATTTCACGAGTACCTTCCTCCGCTGCCTCCCAATCGAGTTCTTTCCCGAACAGAGCTTGTTCGATGTTCCACGGATACAACACGGGATATTTACTCACACACAACTCGATAGTTTCCTGGGGGCACTTCTTCAGCAAAATATCCAGCAAATGCAACAAGAGGCAAAGAGAGTCACGCTCTTTCAATGTTGAGAAGGCCTTGCCACTCTCCTTCTCCGAGATCCAACTCACAATATCGTCGCAAGTTTCCTCCATGTCAGCGCTTGCGACAACCTCATCAAGTACAATTTTTAAAGCACCTGTAAACTGGCGAAGGTTGCACACTTCAGCAGCAAGGTCCGGGTTAATGTACACACCGTATTTGGCTACGAATGCCTCGGCCTCCTCTGCTGTGGTTGATTCCGTCTCAGAATTGTCGTCATCACTGTCCCATTGGTAACGTGGCTCCAGCGTCATCGTAATCCCCATCTCAGTTTCATACAGTCTACAAAACTCCCCATCAGCGTGGTCCTTCTGGTTCAAAGGGTGCAAATGCAACTTCGATCCAGCAGCCCAAATCGCAAAGTAAATCGACACCAGTGTTCGCACCAGATTCCAGTCGCCTCTCGTCAGCGGTAAACCATCACCATCCACAAGTGCTTCGCCCCGTGCAAATCCAGTTGTAGCTGCAGGCGCATTAGTGAGTTCACTCTTATTTTCAATAGAGTCGTCGCTTCCTTCTGGGCCCTCGTGCTGCGCGGTAGGGTCGAAGCAGTTCAACCATGCACTAATTGTTGTCTGTACTTGGTGCATGTCGCCTTGAAGCAAGTACAAACTGGTCAGGCATGCACATACTCTAGTAATTCCAGATGCTGGCCAAAGTCTCCGCGCAAGATGCTTCGTTTTCTCGGCTGTAGCCGAAGCTGCATGGAGCTCTGAAGCTAGTTCGGTGACATCACGTCGAATGGTAGGCTCCAGCTCTGGCGAAACAGCGATTCGGCCACCTACGATGCACTTGAGCTTAATTTCACAGCTCGGTGTTGCCCCAAAATGCTTTTGGATCGCTCGCTGGGCTGCACGGCTTGCATCCGGAGACATTGATGCCCGATGCACCAGGCGCTGCTTAATTTTATTGACAGGAGTGGAGGCGCCGGACGATGGAGCTGTGGGGATAGAAGTCTGTACCTTCAGCGGCTCGATCAGGGCTGGCTTTGAGTCGCGTAGCTGGGCTTGCCTCTCATTCTCCTTGACGCGTTTTTCGTTGTGCCACCTTCCAGCATGTGCGCTTCCGTTCTCTTTGCTATCCTGACCGCTTTCTGGTAGATTCAGTTGTTCACTAATAGGTAAATTGGATGTGTACTTGAGGTTTGAGTCCCAAATATCCATCGAAATCGCCTCCAGCAGCACTTCCGTGTCAAGATTGCTTTCGTCTGCCTCTCCAATCGTTGACATTGCAATCCGCAACACGGAACATTCGTTAGTGTCAGTCTTGAGCCTCTGACCATGTGTATATCTCCGCTGAAGAAGTCGAGGATCTAGGTCGATAACTAGCTCGTCGCCATCAAATTCAGGAAAATCATTAAAGATCCCTGAAGCGTCCGAGCGGCCAAACGGATCAGTGATAATTGACCCGTCTATTAGGTGCGTGAGCATACTGCTGCCTGGGATAAACGTTGAAAACGCCTTGGCTGCCGCTGTTGATCCATCTTTTAGTACTGGGAGCAGGTTCATGTTCATGGTACCTTCCTCGTTTCGTATCTGCTCGGATCGTTTCACTTCCTCCATAACCTCTTCCATGTAATTTTCACGGTAGTCGTCAGCAAGCACGAAGTTTGCTCGCGGTAGCTCCGGAATTTCCATCAGTCTGGCTTCCACAAAAGAGCCATCAGGCGCGCAAATACTCTTGGAGTACGATTGATCCGATGGCGCCAATACTTCGAAGTACTCGATAGGTTTGTGCAGAGTGCTACCAGTTCCCAGTGTAACTTCTGTATCTGTGGAGTCATTTGGACCGGCAAATAAATCACTTGTCGCGTTGGCTGCTGCTGACACTGCTTGCTGCGGACGCTGCTTGAAAATGACTTGCAATGGCTGTGAATCAGTCGGAGTTGGAAGACCAGACTCGACTGCAACTCTGTACTCCTCTTCGAGCGCCTTAGTTTTGTCCACAAGTGCCTTCAGGGACGAAGTAAGCTCGTCATACTCTCTGGGCTTTGCACCAATTTTATCCAAATGAGCCAGCCATTGAGATTGTAATGACTCCAAAACAAAGGCATCATTCAGTTTGAACTCGACTGCGAGCTACATCATGCAGAAATTCTCGCTTTAGATTATGTTCAACAAGGAGGAAGTACAAGATATGTGCAAACTCACCTCAACAGCTTTCTTCATATCTTCCGAGCCATAAATCTGAAGGAACTGATCTGCTGAGCAGGACTGAATCAAAGACACCTTTGGCGCATCGCCATGGAGGACGACTAGTGTAGTTTCGTTGATAATCTGCTCAACACGAATCACGCTCGATATTAGAACGTCCAATCCACTCAGCAAAGGCACTAAGCACACACCTTCAAGTCGTGAATGATACCCAAATCCAGATGCCACTCAACAATTTCAACGGCAAAGGGGTCGAGGAAGAATAGCACGCTTGATCCCACGTTCCAGCTCACTAGCAAGGTGGTCGCATCTTTCACATCTTGTGGCGCATAAGAAGGATCTTGTACGAACTGAAAGCGGCCAAGCTTATTAATTGACAAATTCCGAGGCTGAATCCCTGAGAACCAGCGAAGCGTGTTAAAATCAATCGGATACTGTAACTTAATCCATAAATGATGCATACCTTCTTCCATAGCACATTCTGGGCTCCGCAGAAATTGCGTAGGGTTTTTGCTGAGAGAGAATTTCAGGGTCGACGAAACTGTACCTGATTGAGGATCTGCAACCCACACACGGCGACCCGGTCGCGACGAAAACACTCTGATTTCCCTCTTTTTCGCCGGATCAATCGCTTCCACGTTCAAACTGCTGAAAAAGCATGCGCCATACGACCCTTGCCGCGCCTTCGTACCGATCTGAACAGCGCTCCCATCTCCGGCCGTAAGGTTCAAGAGCAATACCCGCAATTGAGACGATACCATCAGGATGTAGGACCGCTCGCTTTTCGCTAGATCAAGCTGAACAAGTGGAATAACCACCGTCAGCCACAGACCGCTCTACGTCAAGCAACGTTATTTACTGTGATTTACCTGTACAATCCCCGTCTCTTCCTTCAGCAATAGCTCAGTGTCTGTGCTGCCGAAGATCGCGGACACGCCAGCACGGAGCACAGTTTGACACACGAGGCCTGCGTTACACGCTGAAAAGAGTCTTGTGCCACGTCTGTCCCACAGGAAGCAAGTGACGGGAAAACCTGCATGAAAGTCATGCGAGAACTCGACCTTCTCGCCGATCTTGTGGTAATCCGACAGCTGAATAGCGTACACGACGCCGCGCATGGTACCCACAACGAGGCGCTTCTGCAGCGGACAGATGCTCAGACAAGTGACAGCCACGCGGTCATTACTGGGAGGTGAGATCGTCTTGACCAAGTGGTACTTTGCCGACACCCGATCACTCTCGCTGCGACCCAACGCCGACGTTGCGTACAGATACACGCTGCCATTATTGGCGCTGTTGCCAAGGATACCCAAGAATGCGGAATTGAGATTACGGTAAGTCAGTACTTGCAGTGACCATCACTCTTGTTCCACATTCGAATGAGGAAGGATACTTACCCGCAGGCGATGAAGTTCTCGGACGCGTGCACGCAAGTGAAACGCACCTTGCGGTTCTGCGTGCCTAGGCCCAGGTCCTTGTAGTGCAGCAATGGCCGGCTGCGCACGGGGGTGGCCGCCGCGTCTCCCCCGTTGGGCGGCATCGCAGGCGGGACTTGATGTGCTGGGTCTTCCGCCGTTTGACTTGATGTTTGTATGGTCGCCTGGAAGTTGAACCGGTCAAGGTCTGGTTTGCTTATATCCGTTTTATTGGCTGAAAGTTTGAAATATATTGACCAATCCGAGTCTTCTCACGCCGCTCTGGAAAGGTGCATTAGACACAGTGCCAGGAAGCAAGCAAGCGCTATTCGTGCCGACCGACTCCAGTTCGCGGAAGACTATTCGCAATCTCACCTGATCCAGCACACACACGTAAAACACTAGACAAAGCTCGTGTTTCCAGCCGAGAGAGATCTCACACTAGGAGTCGCAAACACCGCGGCACGGGGACGCCGACAGTCAAGCTGGTTGAGTCGTCTCCTTCTCGCGCGCCAAGCATGTACATGCGCTCGGACTTTGCTGCACTTCGTGTACGGAAAGATGTGAACGAGGTGAACACACTCTTTTGCGCTGATCGACTGTGCGGCCCGGTTGAGGTTTTCTGACTAGGCGATTCTTTTTCTCCGTGTTCTTGTTCTAGCTTGCCAAGGCCAAGTTCACGTGCGCCCAAGCAAGGACTCGCGTGGAGTTTCCTGATGGAGCAAATAATATGCTGCAACTGATTTTTACGATCTCGATCATTGACTTGTCGGGTCCTTTTGCCAACGGCGATTTTACTTTCTTTGTGGATATCCCAAAGACGTACCCGTTTCACGGTAAGAAATTACGCTAACGGCGAGCTATCAGATAGATTGTGTCGTGTTTGCAGTGATACATTGTATTTACTAACTCTAGTACGGTGCTGTGGTTTTGTTTGGATGCGATTCATGTGACAAATTACAGCCCCCAGCGTGAGGTGTCTTACGAGGTAAGTCTCAACGAATTGCTTCTATTGAGGGCAACTTATGACCAGATATGTTCATGCTTGCTGCCGTGTTTTCTTTTGTTCGCAGAGTGTGGCATCCCAATATTGATATTGCGACGGGAAAGGTTATGATGCCAATTCTTGGCAAAGACTGGCGCCCTGTGCTCAGCATCAACACTGTCTTGCTTGGATTACAGGTATTAATTGCTCTTACAAGTGGACTGCGCAATGCTGCTATAGCTAACCCATTTCTGTGTGACTATTGATGTTTAGTTGATCTTTTTGGAGCCTGGCATCGACTATATTCTCAATCCTGCGGCAGCGGAGCAACTGCACCGAAACCCAGAACAGTTTAAGAACGAGGTTCAACAAATTCTCTGCGGAGGAAGATTCTACGGCGTTGACTTTCCTCCACATCCTCGGCAAATCGAGATACAGCGTCAGAGTTGGGGTCTACGAGTCAAGCGGCCTCGCGACGACGAATCTCCTGCCGCGAGCAGTGAATGGGATGGCATGTCAAGCCCGAATACTAGTGATGCTATCGGTATTGAAGCGCCAGTGCTTATGGATTGCACCGACGGCTCTGCTTGGAAAAGGTCGCGGCTCGAGTAGTTTCCACTACTTCCCGATTTTCTTTAAATTTCATCACTTTTTTTTATTTGCACACAGACTCTTGACACAATTGATGACTGAGAGATCTGATTGACCGATGGGCAAAAGATATTTACTGGATGGCATTCAGACGAAAAAAATCTCAATTTATTTCACAACAGATAACACCTGAATGTAGATCGAATGTTAACTAAAGTTACAGTCTGTAACATTCGTACCACCCTGTAGCTTACAGTTCCAGGGCGAAAATTTGAGAAGGCGTAAATTTGAATCAATTATTCTCAGATTGCACTAGCATGTTTGGAGGGATAAAATATTTAACAGGTATTTCTGTTATAATGTTGACGACGGCAACTAAAGCCCAGTACACCGTCAGTTTTCAATTTGACTTTCTACTGCTCCCTCATATTGCTCCGATCGTCGATATCCCGTAATGCGCGTAGTCAACATCCTCGTGGTGGCTGTAGCCGCAACCATCAGTTTAACGTCGGCAGAATTTGGCAAGTCCAGATTCTTAAAATTAGAGTCATTCACTGTGAATAACAGTGGCGATGGATCCTTGTGGAGCTACACCACGAACGATTGTGACGACAGCACCGAAGCCGAAGATGAAGAACGCGCTGTCAACTTCTCGGATGTCAAACAATGGCTCAAGGTACCACTTGGCCCCAGAAATGGAGAAACAAAAAGGTTTCCGAAGATGACTTTTCCCCGAAAACTATCGAGAAAATGCTGGAAAGCGAGCGCGTCCAGCGCAAGATGTTTAAGAGATGGAACAGCTACAGGATGGAGGACATCAAGATGAAGATTGGTGAATCAAAGCTGAACAACGACGATGTTGGTGTATTACCTCCAAAACCACCGAGTTTACTGACAACGCTGGAAAAATGTCAAGTAAGTAGCACACCGTGCTGCTACTGAAAGCGTCAGTAAGTGGGTACGACTTTCAATAGACACACACCAACTAACTAGGACATCATTCCGTCGTTCTGAGCGCAGCTTACTTAGAATAAGTCCTCCAATTGGTCTTACGGATTCAGAGCATTGGCATTTGTTTCACCAACTTGAGATAACTAACTACTACAGTAGTACAACTGTAGTTACTGCTGTTTTAGTACCTTCAACGCTGTCCAACGCAGATTGCAATAAATCTCGATGGTCTGCCAATTCGATAAAGCAACTAACAGAAAGTGCCAATTGAGTGCGTGAAATCGGATACACTCGAAAGAGTACGCCTACGCAATAACACGAAATAGTTTGTTGATTGTGTTTTAACAGCGCAATAATAAAGCTTAAACGTTTTAAAGACAATCCACAGTTCATCTAGCGCATCACGACACCAAAAGCTATGACGGCACTTACACGCTTCAATAACTATGAAAAAGTAAATGATCAATTTACTCCACGATTGTCTTATCTAGGAAGTATATTCACTTACAAGCGGGTGTCGTTGCCCACAAGCTCTCCCTCAATGTCAACAGTGATCCTAGCCTTTTTACTAGCCTTTCCTGCAGGCGGAAGGACCAGGACATCACAACGAGCCTCCGCACGAACTTCCTCCCGTTTCCTCTTGATCCAAACCTCAGTACCGATATTTGCCTTGGCCCCGCCATCCGTGTAGAGCTTTAAGCGTTTTGTCATGTTCACAATCGACGGCGGGTACAGCCCAGTGCACCTGAAACCACTAACAGCATTCGTTGATCGCTCGTTAATGGCCGTTTTGTAGGCCGAACACGCGATCCCAATAGCCGTCGTTTTTGACAGCACCATATCGGCTGTATTTAGCAGTTTTAGCTGCAAAGCATCGGCCACTGCGCTTTTGAAAGGCTTGAAGACGACTGCATCGAGAGGCTGGTACAAATGTGTAACGTTTGGAGGAAGGGTAAGCATCCAGACTCCCATGTCGTATGCCTCGATAATTGAATCTTTAAAAGTAAATGCCCGTCCAAAGAGATAAAAAATTAGATATAAAATAATTTAAACATTCATAGAACTTACCGAGGTCGAGGTGAGTCGAGCTATTGTCCAGCACTAGCAGAACAGGAAATCGAACACCACTTGACTTTACTTGGTCAACAAACATGGTCAGTCAGAGGCGAAATATCCCTCCGTTACTAAATCCCTTGGGCGCACCCGTCACTCGCGCACCCTTGATAGAAATAGTATGCTGCTCTGCCTTGTAAAGGCGTTTTCCAGGAAGAATAATGAGAGGAGGTATCGCTCCCCCGGCTGCATTGATGACAGCAACGACCGTCATGTGGAAGTTGGGCCTTGTCTCTTTACTCCAGACATTGGGAGATCCCTTGAGTGCAAGCACTCTGTTCGATGTTCCCTTCGGCATAAAGGAAGTCTCATCCATGTTGTATAATCTGTCAGCAGACAATCGTAGTTCAATCACGCGCTTGCACACCGCGTGGAAGAAGCCGAGAATACCCTCGTCGCCCACCATGTTCCGCACACGAGCAATTCTCTGCGCCAGTTCAGGGTGGCGGTCCTTAAATCGTCTGTACCAGCCCTTAGTAAGCGGTTGGTACGGTGTTCTACCGCGGGTAGTAGCTCCATGGAGCATTTCATTGATCTTGTTGGCTCGCTCTAAGACTCGAGCTGCGCCAACAGAGAAGCCCTCACGCTGCATCGCCGCAATCCATGCGACGAGGTCGTCTTCTTGCTCCGCAGGTAACGCTGGCTTGGGTCCTCGGCGCTTTTCCGCTATCTCCCCCGTAGTCTGCAGCTCTTGAGACTTCTTGAAAAGCGTGCGCAGGGGAACAGAGGACGTCCTCGCTACGGCCGCGAACTTCTCGCCCTCGTAGGCCCTGTCTAGCGCCTCTAGTACGTCCTCCTTCGTGCAGCCCCCCCCTCCCCGTCGAACTACCATGGTGATGAACCGGCTTCGAGTGTTAATGTATCTCCTACCGCGAGACCAATGAAGGGCTCACATTTAATACCTGTGAAATAGTATTTATGATTGAAAAACTTTATATAAACTCGTGCACTAAATTGACTGCTGGAGCAGTAGCCAATCAGGTCTCGATGTCAGCCAATGCAACGTTATGATTGGCAGCGACTACGCACAAAACTGATCCCACGCACTCAATTGGCATTTTCCGTTATTACCGCTGTGGAAAACGCCGATTCTCTGTTTTTACGATAATTACTGTAACTTTCTTATTGTAAGCTCAAAATGCAAATATTTAAAAAATAGCAATAAGTGATTGAAATGCAAAATGAATTTATAAAAACACAAGTAAGGAAATGGACATTGTTTCTTCATGTATTTCTAAATCAACATACCGGTACTAGAAATTGGAGTTGTAGTCTTGCATGAAAAAAGCACTTTCTAGAAGGTGTACACTTTTTCATCTCTGTTTTCATTTGGTTTTACTATTGTGAAAGGCAAAAGTGACACTTTTAACCTTTTTAATTTTATTGCTTTAAAAAAGCACTTTCTTTAAACTAGTATTTTTTGCAATATATTTTTGCAATAGTTCTTATTTTGCCTTACGATCGTTAAAAAAAAGGGGAGAAAATATAGTACTCTAACCATTCGCTGCAAGTCGTCACAACTTCGCTGTGATGGAAAAGGAACTGCAACAGAAGCTGCTGAGGGACGCTCAGTCTACAGACACCATGACGCGTCTCCTGAGCCAGGAGATTGCACTGTTTCAGCGCAGTATGTACAAGAACCACAGTCAGCACCGCCGCGCCTTCTTCTACAAGAATTTGCAGCAGGTTAAACGATGTCTACGCGATTACAAGGTGGAGGCACTTGCTGCGTCGTTTGCCGAGGCTGCAAGTGTCTTGAAGCGGTTGGAACTGGAGGCAGGGGCGCACCATATTTCTTGGAAATTATTGGCTTCAGATCTGAAGGTCAGCACGGACGCTGTACTGCGGAAGCTTGTGTCGATGGCTAAAGCTGCTGCGGAGGTGATTCGAGCAGCTCAGAAGGCATACAAAGGTAGATTTGACGCTCCATGGGCCTGTAATTGCTCTTGGGTACTAAGTAATTTGTATGTGGTTTCAGCCTTGATGGTGCAGTTCACAATGACCTACTTCATGCCGTTCGTGCTCACGATGAACAGCATCCTTGCTCGACTGGCTGTGCTGTTCAAAACGGTACTTGTACGAGCTATCGAGCTCCATGGAGGAGTCACATTGCTGTACTTGAACGAGGTGACAAAGTCGAATCCGCTGCGCGCCAAGACCACTGCCGTGCAGCTTCGAGGGTATCAGATTCCCAGCGACATCCTCCAGCTCGCCAACGCATAGAGAAATAGAGCGACATCGCAATAGAAATGACAAGTATCAGCTTGTCATCCAAAACGTACAAGGAATATGACGTAAAATACATGATATCGATAGAAAACCAAGCAAGTAGCACCCAAAACACAGTCTGAACGAGGACTGTGGACAAAATGGAGCAGCTTGTTCTGCTAAGACGCAGTAATTACTGCGTTCTCTAATCACGAGCTGTTCGGGGGAGTAGTATAGCCCACAATCGTCTTGTGGAACTCCACGACACCCTGCTCACACCAAGAAATGTACATCAGCATAAGACAAAGCTACAACTACTTCAAGTTCCACGCACCTGCACGCTGAGATCCAGTACTCGTGTGGTCATGTCTTCATCCATCTCCACTTGCACGCCGATAGTGCGCATTGTCGGCGCTGCATCGCATCACAACAACCGTCAGCTACTACACAAATATGTGCAACTCGAATCGCTTACCAGAACAGGTGCAGGACTTCTTCGAGAGACCGCAGCGGTTGCACTTGTAGTTGGATGGCACCAGTGGACACACGTGGCCCTTCTTGGGTTCACCGCACTAAGCATCAAACAAATTCTTAGCCTTCTCTTCATGCGTCCGAAGCTGAAAAATGCGCACCTTGCTGCAGCGGTAGTTGCCTCGGTTCCGGTTCTGTGACTTTCCTGCGGGGTCAAGATCGAAGGTGGCGCCATCCAGACCGATTATGGCCTTATTCCCGTCCTGTAGCTGGTCCATGAAGCCGCTTGTCGGGTCGGCGCCAGGCATCATGGGCATCGCGCCCATTCCGTAGTCCATCATCCCCACTGCAGCAAAAACACAAAAAGTCATCAGCCCTCTGCAATGCATGTCCGACATCACTGCGAACTCCCTGTCTACTTACTGCCATTCACGTCCATGGGCACGTTCCCGTTCATCTTATAGGTACGTCTTTGCTTGACGTATTGTGGAGCGGGATAAAGTGACTGACACGACTGAGAAAAAAATCGATGCTCACATTACTCTTCTCTTACTTGTTTACGTTATTTAATATCAGTATATTTACTCATTTTTAAATGAATTATCCAATAGAAAGCAAGTAAAGTAGCAATTTCATCTTTTTTACTCGATATCTATTCATTTCAAGCGGTTATTTCCTTTCCACTGCCTATTTTCATCTAACTTAATCGTTGATTGGTCAGCAAAACACGACATTTGTCAAAACTTGTCATACTCGCCCCCACCATCGACCACGGACCCCAGGCAGCCATGTCGTTCAACTTCGGTGCGTCCTCCGCGGCTCCTTCGGGTGGCTTCAACTTTGGCGCCAGCTCTGCCGCTCCCGCAGCCTCTACAGCTCCCAGTACGGGCGGTTTTTCCTTCGGTGCGGCCTCCAGCGCCCCCGCTACGTCCACCGCGTCGTCCTCAGGCTTCAGCTTCGGCTCCAAGCCGGCGGCCGCTGCCAGTACCAGCAGCGGCTTCAACTTCGGAGCGACGTCCTCGACACCAGCAGCACCAGCCGAGGCTAAGAGCAGTGCCACGTCCGCTCCGTCGACAGGCTTCAGCTTCGGATCAACTGCACCGTCATCTACTGCTCCATCGTCCACTGCTGGATCCACTGGCACCTCTGGCTTCAGCTTCGGTGCGAAAACGCCAGCAGCAGAGGCCAAGCCCGCAACTTCAAGCGGCTTTAACTTCGGCGCTACGTCGACAACATCAGAGGCTAAACCGGCCACTCCAGCTTCAACGGGGTTCAGCTTCGGTGCAACGTCCACTACAGCAGAGGCCAAGCCAGCGGCACCGGCTTCTTCGGGCTTCAGCTTTGGTGCTAAGCCTGCGGCGGATGCTAAGCCTGCGGAGGCTAAGCCAGCTACTGGCTTTTCGTTCGGTGCGAGCTCGTCTGCTTCCAGTGCCGCTACTAGCACGACCACTACGTCGACGGGAGGATTCAGTTTTGGGGCCAAGCCGACGACGTCTACTGCTGAGAGCAAGACAGAGACACCAGCGGTAGCGTTTGGAACGTCTACAGCGTCCAGTGCTGCGGGGTCAACGACGACTGCCACTTCGACTGCGGCCACCACTGCCATCACAGCTCCTGCCACGGAGACGGACAAGCCTCCAGCTGAGTACATGGGTCGAACGATTGAGGTACGACTGAAATATTGGTGTCATGATGATTTTAGATGTTCTTACTCCCTTCTTATTATGCAGGATATCATTAACGCGTGGAGCGAGCAGCTTGAGCGTAATGCGGACACATTCACCACTGAAGCTGTTAAAGGTACGGTATTTCACCACCAATGGCGCTATTTCGGTGATGTTTTTCTCATTATTTACTGTACTTTTGACAGTGAGCAAGTGGGACAGCGACTTGATGGAAAGCCAGCGGAAGCTTGGCGACATTGCCGGCGACGTGCGACGTATTCAGGTGGCTCAGAACGAGCTGGACTCGAACTTGGACACGATCTTCGCCTACCAGATGGAGTTGAAGTCAACGCTTGAGGTACGGATATCGTGACTTCAGCTGCTTAGTTGAAAGCTGATCGTTGTGGTCCATGAATATCTTTGCAGCAATTGGAGAAGAGCGTGGACAAGATGTACGAGTCTCAGGACCAGATGCCCGTGGCCGCCGACATTGAGCGCGAGCAGACTCTGCAGTTGTCAGTAGATATCGACGACCAGTTGAACTCGATGACGACGACACTGAAGGAGACGGTAGAGAAGCTGAACAAGGCTCAGGACGACGTGGCAGACGACAACAACCCGCTGGTGCAGATCATGAAGGTGCTCAACGTGCACCACAACTCGCTCCAGTGGATCGAAGGCAGCGCTGGCCGGCTCAACAGCGACATTGCACAGCTGTCGCGCAAGCTGCAGGATTCATCGATTTAAATGGCCGCAGACACGACGTCTGTGCGCAGCGTGGACTGCTGAATAGATATCGTTTATCTGACGCTGTGGTAGTTGTGTATCCATGACGCTGTGATCTAACGCCTTATAATGACAGGATACGCTTCTGTGCTTCACTCAAGCATCGTGATTGGTCCATGAACCTCAGAAGTAGTCGACGTCATCGAAGCTGCCAAGTCCGTGAGCGTCGATCCAGCGCTTGAAGTCCGTGCAGGAGGCAGGATAGTGACCGGAAGCTCGAGTTTGATGGGGGTTATGAACATGGCGTACTCACACACGAGCGCTATGCTGTATATACAGCTTAAAAAACTCCCAGTCGTGGTCGGGTAGTTAACCTGATTGTCCAGGTTAAGTTGTACGGGACATTCGAGCATATCGCCATGTTTTGGTCCTGGACACTTGGCTTCTGCAACTGGTCGTGCACAGACGTCTTCGTTGCCATCGGGATGCCGCAATGTCACCTTCTGGATGAGCTGGACACTGACTTGTTGTACACCGACCGACGCGGTGTGATTGTTGACGAAGCACTCGACTATCGGGCTCTCACCGAGAATGAAGGTATCTCGTGGCATGGACATGGCGAGGTGGGTAGTGCCTCGACTGAGACAACCGAACCAGCGGAGCGCCTTGGACACTGTGCGCTCGACTGAGTGAACTTCGAGTGACTGGGTATTGCATCGCACGACGATGTCGGTGTTTGCTTCAAGGTCCGAGACGAAGCGACCTTGCACTTTAATAGTCGCCGTTATGGTGTATTTGATGGTAGCATGCAACGCAGACACGTCTCCATCCAGTGACTGGACGTTTAACACACCGGGTAGATCTGCTGGTAACGTGTATGTGAGCGGATAAAGGTATTCACCAACTTCATACGGAACCGGTAAGGGTGTGTTTAAGATCTACGAGAAACACCTTAATCAGAGAAATACAGGATAAGAGGACAATTAGCGCTCCCTACCTCATGACGGAGGATCTGGTGGAAGCGCGAGTGATGGTCTTTGCCTTCTTTCCACTGCGCGATCTCCTCACCAACAATACTGCATACCAACGCTGCATCAGCATTAAGTTAATACCAGCTACGTCAGGGATAACGTACACAGGATAACAACGCACCTCCGCATTGCAGTGGCTCGCTTACAAGAACTGTGATACGGCCAGTGACGAGGTCACCCGCTCGATATTCGTCTTTGTCAACGCTAATATAGAGCTCTCCTTTAACGCCAATGTCTCCGCTGAAGTTTTCCTCGCCCAGTTGCTCATCTAACGCTGTTATCGGCTCTGGTGTCGTACTTTCGTAGTAGTCTTCGTCGTCGTCGTGCTCCATGTGCGGAATGGACTCTTCGTCGCTCGACGCCATGGTCCTTTAACTGAGCTCTTCGGTGCGCCAATGGCAAAGTGTCTTCACCTCGCTACCAACAGTGTAGAAAAGGCCCTCGCTCGTGCATGATCGGTAGTGTCGTCGTCCCGCGGGCCGTGACAGCGTGCAATGTGACGCTGTGCAAGGAGGGAGCAAAGACTCGCAAAGGTTGAACATGAGTCCACGCCTCTCGAAACCGGAGACCACTTTGGACAGGGCCTACTCATCACTCAACGTTCGGTCACGTAGGGTTCACATCTCTTGGTCATTATGAGCTCCGACATCCCCATCATCTCGCTAGATGATCCGCAACAGGGGCAGAAGCTGGCCGACGCCTTTGCGCGCTTCGGGTGTTGCTATCTTACGGGTCACGGCATCTCCGACGTGCTGTCGCAGCAGATGATGCAAAGCGCCGAGTCGTTCTGCGCTCTACCCAACGAGATCAAAGCTGCGATCCCAGTGGTGCAGAACGGCAAGGGGTTCACGCGCGGATACATTGGCGTAGGAAAGGAGAGCGGCAGTGCCGAGCGTGTGGAGGTCAAGGAGGCCTTCTCGTACGGCTACGAGTGGCCCAAGGACAAGACGGAGCCGTTCGCCAACGGACTTCAGGGCCCCAACGTCTGGCCCAAGGCCGAGGACTGGCCCGTGGCCAACCGTGAAGTACTCAACGAGTTCTTTAAGAAGATGACGGCGGCGTCGCGTGCCGTGGCCCGAAACCTGTCGGAAAGTCTGTACGGGTCTGCAGATTTCCTCGACGACTACTGTCATCAAGGTGAGACCATCTCGCTCATGCGCATGTTCCACTACTTCCCGTACGAACGGTACGCGGGCTTGACGGGTGGTACACGCGCCCTACCGGAGAATTTTCAGGAATTCATCGGCTCCAGTCCGCACACGGACTGGGGCTTCCTCACGCTCATCATGCAAGACCCTGTGGGTGGCTTGCAGGTCTTTCATGACGAGAAGTGGGTGGACGTGCCCTACGTCCCCGGCACGCTCGTAGCCAATGCTGGAGACTACCTGTCGCTCGTCACGGGTGGCAAGTGTCTGTCGCCCGTGCACCGAGTCGTGGCTGACAAGCGCGAACGCTACTCGCTCGTGTTCTTCTACTACCCTGACTTCGACGCTGTTATCCCGTCAGTTGATGACGTTAAAGAGCTGCGCATTGGAGGCGATGCGAGAAGTGCGAATGGCAGCAAACCGTTCAATAACTTGTTGGATGGAACGGTGCGCAAGAGTGACGGGTGCTTTGGCGAGTACATCATGGACAAATGGGCGGGAGTGCAGCGCTGACTTCTAAGAAGGTCGCGTCTATCAGTGTTATCATCGCATGAGGCTTTGAGATTCGTTTCCGCTTACACAAGCCATCTTAGGGGCACACTTGTTTTGATTTCAACCATGCTCGCACTTTTTGTACTGTCAATAAACAACTCCGTACTTACAAGCAACAACTCGCCGTGTCAGATAACATATCCAACATAAGAAGACTATGCCGACGGCAATGAAGAATGGTGCATCAGCGAAAAACTAGGATGGCACTGGAAAGGTCTCACCAGACCCATAGAATGCTTTTAACATCGCCTCCTCCTTTCCAGAGTTTCCAGCTCTTGTCTCGTCCAACTTGACCCTCAAACAATGGACGGTTGCAAGGGAAGTACTTGCCAGGAATTTCGTAGATGGTAAAGAGGAATCCGAAAATGGTTTCCAAAAAGCTTTCGTCAGAATCCAAAATTGAAAACGGAAAAATGATGCAGATTCTGAAAGGTGTCAAGATCTAGGAAAGCCTAGTCACGCAACCGACAGGCAAAAAGATATCCTTTCAGCCGAACTTTGATCCGATTTCATAATGAGAAATGTCGTTTCAAATGGTCGTTACTGAACCACGTCTGTACCCAGGGTACGGCTCACGCCTGCGTGGCATGCGTTGCGTGTAGCGGCATCATTCTTCATTTCTCCGAGGCTGAAGTATCCGTGCCGCTGAAAATGCTGAGTTTTGCCCAGTCTTCGCTTGCAGTCGTCATCGTCGTGGTTGCTATCGTCACCACTGTATTCAAGCCTGGCAGCATCCAACTTCGAAATGTTTCGCCTACCTTGGAGGTATCCTCGGAAACGACCGATGTCTACAGTGCGTTGCTGGCCCGAGTCAACAAGGAGCGTGCGGCAAATGGTCTGCCTTCACTTTGTGCAAGTGCCAAGCTGCAGAAGGCCGCTCAGCGTCAGTCGGAAGATATGGCTGCGAACGACTTCCTTCACCACGTCGGATCGGACGGATCCACAGTTCCAAGCCGCATCTCGGAAGCTGGTTACAAGTATAAATCGATCGCTGAAAACGTCGCGGGTGGCCAAGCAGATGCTGAAGCAGTCGTGGTCACGTGGATGAACTCGACCGGTCACCGCATGAACATCCTGGGAGACTACACCCACTTCGGGGCGGGTTACACCTTCAACCCGGACGGAATGTACACGCACTACTGGGCGCAAGAGTTTGCTACGAGTGACGTCGAATCCTGCGATGTCTCTCAAGTGATGTAAGCAAAGAGCTTAGACCCTTTACGTTCATGTTGAGATGGGCCAAACATCGTATAATGGTATAACGCAGCAAAAATGGTTTTCACATCTATATTACATTAGAGATCCGTGCTGTGTTAGAACTTCGCGTCACAGTCGTTCGCCGAGCTAACCTTACCAGGGACGTCTTGCTCGTCAGCAGATCGCTGAGCCTCCGGTGCCGGAGTAGTGTCCTGCACGGGTACACTAGGCTGTTGCGAATCCGTGCCGGTCACACCTTGGACCTTGCCAGGCTGTTCCTCGGGGCACGGAGCTTCAGATTCTGGTGCCTCAGTCACGTAAGCTGCAGTCTTGGGGACCGGCGTCTCCTCATTGTCGGCCTCGCCCTGAACATTGTCGTCATTTTGAGCAACTTGATCCTGATCAGGACTCTGTTCTTGTTCCTGGTTCGAGTCAGAATCACACGATTCGGTGTCTCCCTTGCCGAAATCTTGGGTCCAATAGTGCTTGTACTCGGTGTTGTCGTTGTAGGCGTACGAAACTCCAACCATGGTGTACTCGCCCATGATGTTTTCACGGTGCTCAGGCGAGTGCATCCAGGCGTCCATGACGGCTTGGACATCTACCTGACCGGCAGCAACGTTCTCGCCGACAGCGCTCCACTTGTAGCCCGTGTCGGTGATGCGTTGGGACATCGTGGAGCCGTCCGTTCCGTCGTGAGCCATGTAGTTGTTCTGGGCCATGTCGTCGCTGTGACGCTGGGATGACGAAAGCAGCTTCTTGTTACCGCAAACAGGAGGAAGGCCTTCAGCAGCACGCTCCTTATTAACCCGAGCCAGCATTTCGGAGTGGAAGTCACTGGACTGCGAGTACGTCGCGCCCAAGTTTCGCTGCATCTGGCGCAGGTTTGCGCCTTCCGAGACGCCGGTAGAAGCTGCGGCGATGAGGAGAAGCGCTGCGGACGAGGTCTTCGAAATAGCCATCATGGTCAAGTTCTAGTTGTTGTTGAAGAGTGGAAAAATGAATAATGGACTTCGGTGTGGGGGCATTTGGGGCGCGAGCACCTCGTGCATTCTTGAGGTAAAGTATTTGCGTAGCGCCACATGGAGCTCGCCTTTCGCGTTCGTTAGCCTGATCTTCAGGTGTGTAGGGTGGTTATAAGGGGGGAGATCCACTAAACGGTTGCCAGATGCCGCAGACAGATACTTTCTTCGAAGTATGTTTTAGCACCGCAAGGTTGGTATCTCCCTCTACTGGCTGGTGTCTCGACCCCATACGACGAAGATACTCCCTACGCAAAACAATTCCTGCGTGTATTGGACGCATCACAGACCGCATTGCTGTAGCGAGGTAACTTACACAAAACATCGCCAGCCGCTTTTCTTATCGTCTACCAATTCCGCACGAACACCACACGATGATTATCGACTGTTAATGTTGCTTCATTGCCGCAACCGAGGGAACAATGAATATGCCAACCAATGTCAAAGCCTGAAAGCGAAGTTTTAAGTATCTATGGATCAACATTCATTTTTACGTGAATAACTAGAGGATGCAATCGAAGTAAAAACAAAACAAAGCAAAAAAAAGAGTTCACACCGCTGCACTGCACATCTTAGAAGGCTGGATCACAGTCCTCCACGTGGTCAGTCGCCGGGCTTTGGGTGGTTGGGGTGGCGTAGTTCTTGTACACCTCAGGTGCAGGAGTAACCTCAGGAGGGTCCACCACGACCACGGGGGTTTCTTCTGGCTGCTCAGCGACGGGATCCGTGAAAGCCTCAGGCGGGTCCACAATCACAATGGGCGTCTCTTCTTCGTGATCATAAGGACGTGGATCAACCACGACGACCGGCGGTTCGGTGGTGCAAGGCACTTCCGTCTCCTCCTCACCATCGACGACAGGGGTGTACGGAAGGGGATCAACCACGACGACCGGCGGTTCGGTGGTGCAAGGCGCTTCCGTCCCCTCCTCGCCATCGACGACGGGGGTGTACGGAAGGGGATCAACCACGACGACCGGCGGTTCGGTAATGTAAGGCGCTTCTGTTTCCTCTCCATAAACCACTGGAGCCTCCGTCTCGTGTGACTCGTACGGAAGTGGTGGGTCGGTGTGAGGGGCATAAGTTTCAACGACAAGAGTCTCGACTTCGAGCGATTCGTACGGACGTGGATCAACCACAATCGGAGGTTCGGTGGTGCAAGGCGCTTCCGTCTCCTCGACAGGGGCCTCGGTCTCATGCGATTCGTACACTACGACTGGGGGATCAGTGTGAGGGGCGTAAGTCTCATGCTCATCAACGACTGGGGCATCCGTGCAAGGTGCGTCAGTCTCCTGTACATGAGCGTTGCTGTCGTCCGTAGTTGTGACGGGTTCATCCACGACCGTCTCAACCGGGGCCTCTTCAGCAACAGTAGTCTGCACCTCAACGGGGGCCTCTTCAGGAACAGTGTTCTGCACCTCAACAGCAGCGTTACCGCCGTCGCACTCCTCGGCGTCACCCGTTCCAAAGTCCTGGGTCCAGTAGTGCTGGTACGTAGTGCCGGCGTTGTGCGCATAGGCACAGCCAAACATGGTGTAGTCGCCGAGGATGTTTTCGCGGTGACCGGGGGAGTTCATCCAGTTCTCCATGACGGAATCGACGTCAGGTTGGCCGGCAGCGACGTTTTCGGCCACAGCGCTCCAGTCGTAGCCTGATCGTGTGATACGCTCCGAAACACTCGTGCCGTCGGTGCCCGTGTGATCCATGTAGTCGTTGGCTGCCTGGTCATCGGAGTGTCCTTGAGCCGCGGCTTGAAGTTTCTTGTTGGTGCACAGTGCTGGTAATCCGTAAGCCGCTCGTTCTTGGTTGACACGGGCGAGCATGGCGGAAAGATATTCGTCAGAAGAGGTGTAAGTCTGCAAGTTACGCTGAGCTTGTCTGAGGTTGGCAGCTTCCGCCACCGCAGCGAGGACGAGCAAGTACGAGAACAAAGGTCGTAGGACGATCATATTCCGGCGTTGGGTCGGGGAGTTGGGTCGGAAGTTGTTGCACTTGCGAACTCGGTGGTAAATTGAGTTGTGAGGATATGACCGAACTGAGCCTGTGCAGGGGCGTCTTCCAGCTTTCTGCAGTTTCCACCAAAAGGTGGGCTGTCCTCCACGAAGGAAGCATTAATCGCTAGAAGTCGTCGTCGTCGTAGCAACGCGGAGTGCACCCATGGTTCCAGTTATCGCTCTGCGAGTTTCGACTCGAAAAGTTTTGAGTTCGCCTGTCATCTCCAGACCGTAACTTGATCTGCTCGGTGCGACGATATCAGTCGAGAGCAAGGTTTTCGCGAATAACCCCTTGTTCGGCGAACGCGATTCATTAAGAAACACCCGTATGCAAGCGTTGTTACTGCCAGAGAGTTCATTTGTGCCCCCAAATTCCTTTACGGCAGTAGCGACATCTTACTGAACTCTGAAACGGCGAGGTGGTAATGTTGTCGTGTGCGGCTCACAAAGTGCTGCGTACAATCCGGTAGCGCCTGGATTCCAGGCTCGCCGTTGCCCAATGTCAACCGATCTGCTGCTCACGAATGAGTTCTCGAAGACCAGCATCATACACTGATGATGCTCCCGTGATCTCTTCCATGCGTCTACGAACAGTAAAAAGAGTCAGATGGGGTTGCCATACGGGATCGCAACGACGTTGCAAAGGGGCGTTGAAATTAATCAGACTTTTGATCGAAAATAAGCAAAGTATCTTGTTCAACCTGCACTTGTAGCTTTTGCACTGTTCGTACGTACATAAATTTCATTTTATGAATTTTTCTTATGGTGTATTGATCGGAAGCTTTCTGTCGCTACAGATCTCTCTACCCACACTCGGGTTCGCATCTCCACCTACTCGTCATACAGCTCTGCTTAGAAATTCGACTCGCAATCCTTCTGAGACGCCGAGGGAGGCGTGGTAGTAGCAGCAGGGGTGACCTCAGGAGCCGGGGTCGTTGCGGCCGGAGTGGCCTCAGGGGCCGGAGTCGTTGCGGCCGGAGTGGCCTCAGGGGCCGGAGTCGTTGCGGCCGGAGTGGCCTCAGGGGCCGGAGTCGTAGCAGCCGGGGTGGCAACGGGAGCCGGGGTCGTTGCGGCCGGGGTGGCAACGGGAGCCGGGGTCGTTGCAGCCGGGGTAGACACAGGAGCCGGGGTGGTAGGAGCGGGGGTGACGACAGGGCCCTTCGTGGCCGGGGTGTCCTGGCTGGGGATGACAGTGGCCGGGAGCTCGGGGACAGACTTGGTGGGAGCGGGGGTCACCGGCGTGGAGGAGTTGCCGCCGTCGCACGCCTCCGTTTCACCGCTGGCAAAGTCCTGAGTCCAGTAGATTCCGTACGTCGTGTCCTTGTTGTACGAGTAGGCCGTGCCGAACATGGTGTAGTCGCGGTTCATGATGTTCTCGTAGTGGCCCGGAGAGTCCAACCATCCCTGCATGACCGAGTCGACTTCCTCCTGGCCAGCAGCAACATTCTCAGCGCAGCCATCCCATTCGTAACCGGCCTCGGTGATACGTTGCGACATCGTAGAGCCATCGGCGCCGTCGTGAGCCATGTAGTTGTTCTTCGCCATGTCGTCCGAGTGACGCTGGGCAGCAGCTTGGAGCTTCTTGTTCATACAAAGAGCCGGCACTCCCTGCTTTGCGCGTGCCGCGTTGACGGCTGTAAGCATGGCGGAGTAGTAGTCGCCCGACGGCACGGCGTCCGTGGAAGCCGTGGCGGCGACCAGCAAGAGAGCAAGCGAGAATTGGGACACGGAAAGCATGTTCGGAGCGCGTGTGTTGTGCTGTGAGCTGTGTCCGAGAGAGCAAATTGCGAATTGGAAACAGACCAGTTTGGCAGCGTTGCGCAGTCCGATTGTGGAGTGGCACAGTGGACGAGGTGTCGAGGCACTGACGCTGGAATTGCCGATTTGGCTGGCCCAGGCCATGCACGCGGTCACCATCGCAGGATGGAAAGCCGCTCGCTCTCGGGGAGGAACAAAATTGTAAAGACGCAGAAGAATGTGGAGAACTTACCTCAATGCTGTGGCCAAATCTAACTTACCCATGCTCAATTCTGAGGCTGTACTTGGCGCGAATTGCATAGAGTATCATATCCAAGACAGAGAGTTCGTCTGCAACAAGACCAAGAATTTGCGTGGATAGGCTGAGCGAGGCGACAGTATCCGGTGACCATTTTTGCATGTACCTTGCAGCTTCAACGCTAAGTTGACTCAAATCGAGCTCGATGCAGTCTCAGAAATCTTACTATAGTAAAATTTCGCCGCACGGATGCATTGACTCCTTCAAGACGTTATGCTACTCTGCAAAAGGTAAATGTAAAGGAAGCTCTATACGCATCAGAAAGTCTTGTGGTTGAAATGAAGCGTCTATTTGGTTTCCACATCTACCGGTGACGGCCATTTTAGAACCGATCACCTGTCCATTTATTTCATATCTCACATGGGGGATACATCGCCAACTCAGTACAATACGTAGCTTTCGTTACACTCCACTTAGAAGTTGGACTGGCAATCAGCCTGAACAGGAGTCTCCGGCGTCGGGGTGGTCGGGGCGGGCGTCACCGGGGCCTCAGTCTCCGTAATGGGGGCCTCCGTAGCGGGAGCAACCGGAGCTTCCGTGGCCGGAGCATCCGTCACCGTCGTCGGCGCAGGCGTCGGGGCCTCCGTTTCGGCCTCACCCTGCACCACGTCCACGTTCTGAGTAGCATCCTGCACGGTTGTCGAACCGCTCGTGGTAGCACCGTCACACTGCTCGGTTTCACCCGTACCAAAGTCCTGCGTCCAGTAGTGCTGGTATGTGCCTTCCTTGTTGAACGCGTACCCAGGGGCGAACATCGTGTAGTCGCCCATGATGTTCTCCAGGTGCTCCGGAGAGTTGATCCACGCCACCATCACGGCGTCCACATCCACCTGTCCAGCAGCCACGTTCTCAGCCACGGCGCTCCAGTCGTAACCGGCCTGCGTGATACGCTCCGACATGGTCGAGCCGTCCGAGCCGTCGTGAGCCATGTAGTCCTTGGCAGCCATATCATCCGAGTGACGCTGAGCAGCGGAGTGCAGCTTCTTGTTGAGGCACAGAGGCGACAGGCCCTTGGTGGCACGCTGCTTGTTGACGGCGGCCAGCATGGCGGGGGCGTAGTCACCGTAGGCCGCGTAGGTTTTGACGTTGGTGGCGATGGTGGTGCCGCCAAGTTTGCGAAGGTAAGATGCATCAGTGTTGGAAGCAGCCGCCACGATAAGCAGCAGAGCAAGCGAGGACTGAGCGATGTTCATCATGATTATTTAGATTGGTGTTGTAATTGAGTTGGTTGCGATGCGGAAAGAAGATGGCAAATTGAAAACTGAGACTTAGCTGTCAGGGAGTTAACAGTCGATCGATCGGTTCATCGATCTTGTCTGCGGTGACGAGCAAAACAGAGCTCCGGTCCAATACCGTGACCTGATGTCTTTCTGGAAGGACATGTGCTGGACAAAGTGTCCCTTGCGTCTCGTCAAGCCAACGTGGCATACCGACACAAAAAACCCTGGTACACAAGTGTGTTCAGTCGACAAGGCATGTCGGCCAAGAACTGGAGCCCACGTGCTGCAGCGGAAGATTGCAAAGGGCCACCATAGTGTCGCCAATTCGGTTTGGACCGCAAACGGGCGAACAGTTGGGGGCTCATCTCTCTAAATGTGACTTCAGCGAACTGCACTGCGCGAAGACGCGACAGTTCCGTGTCGAGCTGCTCGATGCAATGCTCGACTCGAACATTGCATTGTTGCAATGTTGCGACTGTTGTCAGAGCTCGACTATAATTTCTTAGATCGGCAATCAATAAGAGTGACAAAACCAGTGTCGACAACAAGTGTATTATCACACGATTCGATGTGATACCTGAACTTATCGGAACGGAGGGCTATGAAAAAGCGTACATTATGACCGCCATTACAGAATTACGCCACGGTCGTCGATACCGGACGGCGCCGAAAGCTGCGGACACCCAACTCGACAGTAACGATAGAAGCAACAAACGATATCCTAACCTTCGTCGCAACCTGGCACTGCCGACGCACGCACGGATCATCGAGCTAACGGCTGTCGCGAACGAAGTGGTGAAAGCTCCGAGCTCCATTCGAGTGCTCTCCGAATGTTGAACGGTTCTCGGTTCTGTGCGCAGTTCTTGATGGTCTCGAGTCACACAACACGGCGATTCAACCCACGACGTTGCAAGCGAAATGACGGTGCAAGGTGACTACGGAGAGCGCCGTCTCTGTTCCGCTCGATCGATCAAGGCAGGCAACTGTTTTCAACGCTCGCGGTGGATTACCACACGGGACAGACCAACCGGACACCGCCGCCGTGACCCACAAGATCTGCGCCAGACGGCCGTAAAGCACCACACTGAACATGTCCTCAGCTCGAGTTGTGAGGTGATATGAGCAGAGGGTGTTCATCAGACGTATAGCTGCACCAACCAAAGGCAGCTCACTTTTCAATTTGCCATCTTCCACCCCAATCGGCACCAACCCACAAACCAATCTAAATAATCATGATGAACATCGCTCAGTCCTCGCTTGCTCTGCTGCTTATCGTGGCGGCTGCTTCCAACACTGATGCATCTTACCTTCGCAAACTTGGCGGCACCACCATCGCCACCAACGTCAAAACCTACGCGGCCTACGGTGACTACGCCCCCGCCATGCTGGCCGCCGTCAACAAGCAGCGTGCCACCAAGGGCCTGTCGCCTCTGTGCCTCAACAAGAAGCTGCACTCCGCTGCTCAGCGTCACTCGGATGATATGGCTGCCAAGGACTACATGGCCCACGACGGCTCGGACGGCTCGACCATGTCGGAGCGTATCACGCAGGCCGGTTACGACTGGAGCGCCGTGGCTGAGAACGTGGCTGCTGGACAGGTGGATGTGGACGCCGTGATGGTGGCGTGGATCAACTCTCCGGAGCACCTGGAGAACATCATGGGCGACTACACGATGTTCGCCCCTGGGTACGCGTTCAACAAGGAAGGCACATACCAGCACTACTGGACGCAGGACTTTGGTACGGGTGAAACCGAGCAGTGTGACGGTGCTACCACGAGCGGTTCGACAACCGTGCAGGATGCTACTCAGAACGTGGACGTGGTGCAGGGTGAGGCCGAAACGGAGGCCCCGACGCCTGCGCCGACGACGGTGACGGATGCTCCGGCCACGGAAGCTCCGGTTGCTCCCGCTCCGGAGGCCCCTATTACGGAGACTGAGGCCCCGGTGACGCCCGCCCCGACCACCCCGACACCTGCGACTCCTGTTCAGGCTGATTGCCAGTCCAACTTCTAAGCAAGCGCACGAAGCAGTGTGTTTGTCATCCAGAAACTTCCTCTTGTTGGGCACCCCAGCAACACCACATAGAGCTATATGTAACTGCGTAGATTGAGTGAGATCTCAAGGTGCAGATTAGACCCCTATACAATAAATGAACAACTTGAATCAAATCGATACAATTCGCAATATCAGTATATGCAACGTAGCACCGGTTGGCGGTCTCTCTGAAAACCAATGTTGGTTCTTAATCTTTATACTACAATAGGATTTAATCGTCTTTCCGTCAAGCTGTTACGATGTTTAATGCGGTGATGACCACTTTGAAGCCGTTAGAGCATTGGCCTCCTACCGCGTGTGAACCACTGTACATCAGTGATTCGCTCATAGCAAGCAACAAAACAACTTGATCGACATGAGCTTGGAGTGACATCAAATCTTTGCTAGTATCACACGTACTGATCAAGGGCGGAGGTAATTTTTTGTTGTTGTTCGGGGGGGAAGGGGGGGGGGGAGTCGTTGAATCTGCCAACTCCGCATTCATAACGGCCAGTCAAAACTCAGTCTAAGATTCAAGCCTTGAATGCTCGTCTGTGCTCTTCTTCTGCGCGACTACAATATGCCACATCACTTTCGATAGTTGAACCATGAATTTCATCACTTGAGTATCTATGGGTTTGAGCGATTCAACCAGTCCGTTCAGAATCCTAAATCCGTCCTTGTTCAAATAATAAATCCGAAAGGACCTCCCCCCCCCCCCAGTGGAGTTCCGAATATTGAATTTATATGGATTGCGTCGTGGTACTATAAATCCGTAATGCATTAGTAAAACAAGCTGTAAGAAATCAATAATTGATAGGAGGAGAGCGAGTCAGTGCGTAATTGCTGAGAGTAACTGTATTTCCCTTTACCGTAGCAGTGTCGTCGGACAAATCGACTTACACACACCTGTCAACATCTTCAACATCCCAGTACGAAGCGTTGACCTTGAGGAAGAGCAGCATTTCCACAGCTAGTGGTGAAAGAGCTTGGTGTTCATGTCCGATCATGGCTCGGGCCACGCTGAAAAGACGCTCCACTCTGTTGGAAGTCGGCGGAATTGCGCTCACCAGTGGGTAAGAGGCCACACATGGCTTTACCTAGCGCTTTTTTAGAATGCGCTCAGCAAAACCGTCCTTCTGCAGCGCCACGGCTTGTGGCTGTTGGAGCACCAGCAGCAAGCTGACGACGACGAACAGGTCACTGAACAGATGATCTAGCGTCATCACGAGGTAAGCCTGTGCAACCGACGAGTGAGCCACTGCGAGATGCGCACACGGGCGACAGAGTGACTGCGAGGGGCTAAAAGAGCGACGGATGTCCTAGCG